AAATAATTAACATATAAATGAATCCAGAGTGGGGGTTAAGACATCAAAGCTTTCTTGAAAACCAAATGGGGGTCGGGGGTGGGGGGGCTGTACCTAAGAGCCACTGTTGTCTCTGTTACAGCAGACCCCCGATGAAGCAGAAAAAAACGGTGATAATATCTCAAAGCAACTGAAGCTAAAAGTGCAACAGTTACATTCTTTTCATTTTTTGAACAATGGACCAATCAGTTTATATTCTAGTCTATATCTTCATAAGAAATTGATTTATCAGTGTCTTCAGTGCATGGCTCCACAACAGGAGCCACAGGGACACTGGCTCCTGTTGGCCCCTAATGAAGCACCCATGCTGGGTACTGTTTCCACTTATATCCATTTCTCCGCTGGATTAATGCTTAGAAAGAATCCTTTGATATCCCAATGGTCACCTGACCATGACACTGCAAAAAAAGGTTTATCTTTACGCTGCAGCCTTTAGTCTTCTCACCGTCACGTGTTATCAACGGCCTCCTCGCTGTGCAGAGGTTGAAAAGGTTAATTTACAAACGAGGCTGTAAAAATTAAAGCCATGATAATCATTCATTACACTGAACGCACCACCGTGGTGTGACAAATCGCCTTCACTTCCACAAACCTTAGCTCCAACCTGAAGGAACGCAGCAAAAAATCCGTTTGGTTCTGGTCCAGTCAGCTGGTTTGGCACATGAATCATCTGAGAGGACTGTTACTACATCCATCTGATCATTCAGAAACTGCAGCAACAAGCATGTGTTTGACAGAAGCTTTCACAGTTATGAGTGAAAGAAACAACTAAACGCTAAAACAGATGGTTAGAAATGAATCATTAAGATTCCTTTAACACGTTTAACTCTTATAGAAAAATCTAAATACAGATTGAGAGTGAAGAAGGAAAGCATCTTACTATCTTCCTGCTGCCACACCTTGAGCTTGTTATCTCAGCGAGAGGAACTTTTATCAGTGCTTTGTCTCTTTTTCATACTTTGGATCTGACAAAGATCCTGGTTTGTTTATTAAAAATACTCTTTAATATGAATAAATAACAGGAGCAAGAAGTTAGAGTAAAGTCTTCTGATCATTTTCACCGTCAGCTTCCGGCTTTCTAAACCTCCATCACTGAATAAATCGTATGGGTCTATGCCGTACACTGCAAAAAATGGAAATCTAAATAAGTAATTTTTGCTCAAATTTAGTGCATTTTTTCTTGAATAGAGGAGGTAAGTGTGAAACTTTGCCAATGGAACGAGACAATTTACATTTAAAATAAGAAAGAAACTATAGTTTTGTCTTAATTCAAGCATATATTATCTAATGATCTTATTTTAGGAGTAAAAATACTAATTCCATAGGCAGGTCATCTTATTTACCTGCTCAAATTAAGGGTAAATACACTTAATTTAAGATATTTCTAGATTTTTTTTTGCAGTGTAGCATCTACAGTATAATAGTTTTGAGTCTTGAATTTTTACTATAGTTTGTTCCCTTTGCACCAAAGTTTTCAATGTTTTATATATATATATATATATATATATATATATATATATATATATATATA